TCAACCTCGCACATATGGTATATTATCATCTCTCACGCACTTTGTTATTGGCTATTAAGATAAATTATTTCAAATGCTGTTAGCTGTCCATATTGTTGTAAAATGTATAAATACCATGGCTTTCTTTATCGTTGTTGCACTTCAATACACAGTCACAGTCCAGCCTTTGTCTTTTGATATTTGCGTGATTGACTAAATCGGAAGGTACGACGAGCAGATAGGCAGATTAGTTCAGGCGCAGACAGAATAAGGTGAAAACGTCTTCATTCAATACCCTACCGTTATAACAAATTGGCGACGGGGTTTACCTTAATTCAGTGCAGTTATAACAAATTGGCGACGGGGTTTTACTTTAATTCATTACAGTTATAACAAGCAAACGACGACAGTTTTTATTCTGTTCAGCGCAACTATATAACATTTTTGACTGTGTTAATTACAACCTAATTACAATGTCTATCTCTCTGGACGATCTCAAATCTATCTTGCAGCAGCAGCAAGTTCAGAATGAAGCAGCTCAACTAAAATTAATCGAAGCTCTCACTCAGAAGCTGTCCATTCAAGTTCCATCGACATCTCATTCTGACAAATATGAAAGCATCTCAAATTCCATTAGTGAGTTCAACTACGACCCAATATCTGGTCTCGTATTTGATGCATGGTTCAATCGTTACGAAGACGTTTTCCGTATTGAATGCTACATGTTTGATGATGCTGCCAAAGTCCGATTGTTACTAAGAAAACTTGGTACTGTTGAGCACAACAGATCATGGATACTATGCTTGACAACCAACCTGGTGTTGCTGTCTACCTCGACGATGTGATAATCACAGGGAGTAGTAAGTCTGAATTGTTTGATCGACTTGACGCTGTGCTATCCAAAATGTCAGAGTTTGGGTTCTACCTTAAAGAGGATAAATGTACATTTTTCATGGATTCAGTAAAGTATCTTGGGTTCATTTTCGATCAACATGGACGTCGACCAGACCCAGAAAATGTACGTGCTATTCAGAATATGCCCGCTCCCACTAATGTTGCCACTCTGCGATCTTTCCTTGGCCTCATCAGCTATTACAGTGCATTTCTACCAGAGCTTCATCACATACGTGCTCCACTGAATCGCCTGTTATCGAAAAATGCAAAATGGAATTGGTCACCTGAATGTCAAAATGCATTTAAAAAAGTAAAATCGTTACTCCAGTCAGACATGCTGCTTACTTATTATGATCCAAGTCTTGAAATCATCTGTGCTGCGGATGCATCCGACTATGGTATTGGTGCTGTTATATCTCATCGTTTTTCTGACGGAAGGGAGAAAGCTATTGCACATGCATCTAGAACACTGAATACAACCGAACGCAAATATAGCCAAATTGAGAAAGAAGGTTTGGCGCTCATCTTCGCAGTCAAAAAGTTTCACAAAATGCTTCATGGTAGGAAATTCACCCTATTTACTGACCATAAACCCCTGTTATCGATATTTGGTTCGAAAAAGGGCGTTCCAGTGTACACTGCGAATCGGCTTCAAAGGTGGGCTGTCATGTTGACTTCGCTGGACCGTTCAATAGTATGCATTTCTTAATATGTGTCGACGCGTTTTCCAAATGGCCAGAGATATTTCCTATGCATTCTGCCACATCAATTGCAACAGTGTCCCACCTACGTCAACTATTCTGTCGTTTTGGTATGCCTGATGTTCTGGTGTCCGATAATGGATCGCAGTTCACCTCATCACTGTTCTCAGATTTCTGCAAACAGTTTGGCATCCAGCATATTCGTAGCCCCCCGTATCATCCCCAATCGAATGGACAGGCTGAACGTTTCGTCGACACTTTTAAGCGTGCTTATGCAAAAGCGAAGGGGGAGGGAACAACAGAAGAAATTTTGGATAGATTCTTGCTGCATTATCGTACAACGCCAAATCCTTCCGCCCCAAATCAGTTATCCCCAGCGGAAATTATATTTGGCCGAAAGATCAGAACTGCCCTCGATTCAATTAAGCCTAGGCAAGTAAAGCAGGGCTGCAGAAATACAAAAATGGAAAACCAATTCAATCGCCATCAAGGAGCTAAACGTCGAGTTTTCAAATTGTATCAGCAAGTTTATGTACGAGATTTTCGCTATTCACCTCCGAGATGGATTCGAGGACAAATAGTGGGGCAGAAAGGAAGGGTTTTATACAAAGTGAATGTAGAAGGACAGTTATGTGTCAGACACACGAATCATATACGAGATGCGTCAGATAGACCTGACAATGGGAGACGAGACCTCACGTTAGAAGTATTAGTAGATACATTTAATCTTCCGCCGCCGGAAGCCCGGGACACAGATCACACTCTATCCAGTACCATGCGAAGGTCAACTCGACAAAGAAGAGCTCCGAAACCTTTTCAAATAGATCCAAAAAGCAAGTCCTACACTCTTTACGGGGGGAGGTGATAGGATCCCACATATTTTGGTATTGACTGTTTAATCTTGCATATATGGTATGTTATCATTCTCACACATTTTGGTAGTGACTGCTAATCTTGTATATATGGTATATTATCATTCCCACACATTTTGTTACTGACTGTCAACCTCGCACATATGGTATATTATCATCTCTCACGCACTTTGTTATTGGCTATTAAGATAAATTATTTCAAATGCTGTTAGCTGTCCATATTGTTGTAAAATGTATAAATACCATGGCTTTCTTTATCGTTGTTGCACTTCAATACACAGTCACAGTCCAGCCTTTGTCTTTTGATATTTGAGTGCTTGACTAAATCGGAAGGTACGACGAGCAGATAGGCAGATTAGTTCAGGCGCAGACAGAATAAGGTGAAAACGTCTTCATTCAATACCCTACCGTTTTAACAGACATGCAAGTGAATAGCTGACTCATATGATTCACCTCTTGTCGATATGGATGTCTTTTATCGGATGTTTCTTTGCGGTAAGTAATCACCGCCGTACTAACCCTATTTTCAGAAACGTGTTTCGATCTATCATTATCTTCACATTTTCAATATCCTTTTATGACGTCTTTAGGATAATTACTTGATTCAAGTGTGTGTTGAGCCAATTTTATTTCCTTGCTAATCTCTTCCTCCTCAGTAACTAGACATTTGTCTCTGTTGATCAGATTCTTGAACACAGTTACTTTGGTGGTAAAGGGGTGGGCTGAATAGTAGTCTAGGTATCTGCCGAAATTTGTCGCCTTCCTGAAAATATGCATTTTAAATTTACCATCTAGGTTACTTTGTACTAAACAGTGCTGTAACGCCAAATCATTCTCGTCGGATTCAACCTCTTTGGAAAACTTGATGGTTTCTGACATATTTTTTATTCAGTGAAAAAGTTTATTCAACAAACTACAATCAATTATAATGAAGGTATCATCCACCTATCTTAACCACATTTCTGGAGGACTAGAACATCTCATGTTTGCATTTGTTTCTAATGAGTGCATAAAAAAATTGGTCCCATCCACTCTTGAATCAGATAGTTATCTTAAAGCCTTCATGAAAAGATATTTTAAATGTGAAGATAAAGTGATAAATCGAAACCCGTTGCTAAGATTTGGGTTAGTACAGCGGTGGTTCTTTACCGCAAAGAAACATCCGATGAGATAAAGCGAATCCTTAACAATCATAACATAAGAGTGTATTTTCGAGCAACTAACAACTTATACTCATCACTGGTGAAGGTTATGGATAAAATAGAGGAAGGATCCCAACTGAATTGTGTGTACCAGATCAACTGTGGGAATTGTGACGCCGTATATGTAGGAGAAACTTGCAGACAGATAAGGGTGGTTCCAAAGACCTCTGCAGACTCAAAGAAGCTAGAAAACAGATCAGCGATTGCGCTGCACCCGATAGAATCTGGACACAAAGTCGACTTTGGTAAGACTAAGGCTTTCCAGAAAGGTTTTAGTTCGTATTAAAGAGAGACTGACTGTGGAAGCCCTACATATATGAGTGAATCCCAACAATTTGAACAGACGTGAAGTTGGGATGTTGGCTGGCTCATTGCAAATCCTGACTAAAAAATTCCATATGTATTAACAATTAATCATACTTGGTCAAAAATCCTCGACTGTCGATATCTTCTTATGGAGAGGCTGACAAATGTTCTAGGACTGTTTACTCACACACATACACACACATCATTGTATACTGCATATATACATATATTTTCATATTCGGTTATCTACGACCACCAACTTTTAGTTTAACGTAATCTGATAAAAAGTACATTCTGTTTAGATTGTTTAACACATTTTGATCACAGTTCATACAATTTTGTTTTGTAGGTCATTGGGTGTGACGGTCTTTGAAGATGTGACGTGACGATGTCGTAACTGGTCTTTATGTCTCATCCAAGTTTCATGATCTACTGTAACCACGTACAAAACGCTTGCAATCTGACCTTGTATTTGACCTTCTCGAGCGTCGACCCCATCATGGTTAATGACTCTACAGTGTTAGATTAAGGCACTCTTGGACGCTTCATTTGTGTGCTGTTGCCGACTGACCTGGACATATCAGAATCCCAAAATATATTTCATGATATTTCACTAAAAGCTTTTCACTTCATCAAATTCATGACACGTACTAGGCACCTCTTGATGTAAGAGAATAATTGATACAGTGTGCAGTGAGACATCGACTCAGAATTTACATTCCATAAATGCAATCCCTGAGAATTTCCAGTTACTGATTGAGTTATTAAGAAATGCCGGTAGTGACTGCGTAGAAATGGGGTGCTCAGAGATTACAGTCATCATCATGAATAGGAATTGATGTGAAGCTGGAATTGTTGTCAATATTAGTTTATTGCATAATCACAATGCGGGGGAACTATGCAAGTTGACAGTCCTCATGAAACTTTGATTACTCGTGTAAATCACTCTCGTAGAACCTGAAACACTGACATTAACCAAATCTATTTTGACATTTCCTACATTAGTGGATTGTAGTGATAACAGTCAAGTGAATCTAACAAATTCAATGGAGAAGTTGACTGATGAATTGGCCAGTTCTTTGATAAATGACTTGAAACTTGATGGAGATTTGGACTGTATGCTCCCAGATTATCCTTTTCGTGGCATTAACCATGAATTCGTGTTAATGATTGACAAGATGTTAATGCCTGAGTGTGATACAGCGGACCAGAATCATGCTAAGAAATCATGGATAACGTGTGCTGCGACAGAGGCTGCTTATGTGTACAAGTCTGTTGGTGAGAGTGTATCCCAGCCATTACGCGTATGGTTAAGCAATGCAGCGAGTGCAGTGATTCTCCATGGACTTCTTGGAGAGCTGACTGCTTCAACACAAGAGGATTCAGACAAAAATCGAACAAATGAGAATATATCACTACCCGACACAGTTGTAGATGATCGTTGTGATGGTTATTGGTATTATGGTAGTTGGACGGTGGAGAATGTGGCGAGTAGCTCCGAGATGAGAGATGTGTTGAAAGCTGAGATGGCGAATGCATGTGTCTTGGTGATGAAAGCCTCTGTGGTGAATTACTTTGAGGAGAATCGGTACACACCGAGTGGCTTCAGGAAGGATAGTTATGCGTGTAGAGTACTTGGAAGTGGTATGATGGAGAAATATGGTCTGACAGATGAGTCGGATAATACGAAGGCAATGCTGATCACTGGTCATTAGGTATCAAAATTGGTGGTTTTCGGTATGGCTACGAAAGGCCGACAACTTAACCACCCAATTAGACCTGTGAAGAGGATTGGTTACAAGCAGTCTGTTCATAAAATAGATATCAGTAAGTATTTCCTTGATGTTCCGGCTGGCTTCACATACACACGAATCACTAACGCTATAGCCATAAGAATGGTTCGATCTGTGTGCATCCCATACTTTGATAATTTTTCTGAGCTGATTGACTTACGACAGCTCTACCGTCGAATAGTTGATGATCCATTTCATTATCATCTAGATGGTGAGTATTTGACTGGTTCACCGAGGACAACAATCAGTGACACGGGGAACAAGCTGTTTGGTCGGCTGATCACTTATCTTAGCATCTTTGAATCGAGAAGCGAACTACTGCTTTATCCTCAATTGCGTATGAAGGGAGAAACACGTGAGAAGCACTACATGGATTACAGTGATCAATGGGAGAATATTTTGTTGGTGATTTTGGATGCGATTTCCAAGCCAACTGAACTTTCTGTACTAGATGCGGTAAGCAAGAGGTGCAGTGTTTCCAACAAATTTCTGCTGAATGCTGACACGCTGAAAGATTGTTGGAATTATTATGACGTTAATGGTCAAACGCAGGAGTTGATTCGCAAAAGTTTCTCCTCAAAATGAGAGATAATTTATCGCGTTGTAATCTCAACATGTAGAATGAATGTTTTAAAATTCTGTCAAACTACAATTTTAATATTTCGAATGAATATTCACTTGATCCTGTTTGGTCTGTCTTTTTATTGTCTTTGGATTAGTGTTTGGTGATTGGATGGGAGACTGGGTGAGTGAGTTTATGATGCATTTAGTGTTCTAACTTCATGGTCTGGAAAGCCTGGTATTTGTGTTTCAGAGTTAGATTATGATGTTTGTGAGTAGAAATGATTTGAACAGTAGGATGAGTGATTGTGTTGATCGACATTTGAATACATTAGGCGGATATAGTTACAGAGTGTATATTGTTCATTGTGGAGAAAAATATTCTCCTTGTATGGATTTCAATCTTGAATTGAAATGTGAAAACAGACTGAAAGCAGTTTGACCATTGGGAAACACCATTTCCTCAAACGATTAGCAATATGAATTTAGGAAAGCGCTGTATATGTCATCAGATGTTTGGAGAGTATTGGTGATGTCGATAGTGTTTGTGTTCATTTGAAACGCTACAACAATGAACGTAATATTTTCCGGCACCATAGATTATCGTCTTTTAGTCATGCTCTCTCTGAGAATTCAAATTTTATTCATTAGTCTGATGTTGAAGTTTCTGATGGCACTCAAACATCTTCCTTTCCCTCGGCCGTGTCAGTATTTCGTTTACGAGAGGGAGACTTGACTGTCTCGTGTTCTGTGACAGTTGCACCGAGCATAGTAGTGCGTTAACATTATTATTATTATTGTTACTATTTCCCTTAGTATTGTAGGAAGATGTCGGTTGAACTGTGCACTGTTTCTCATTTCTCGATTTAGTGAAGATGCTGTTTAGGAGTACGAGTGTATGTCACATTCGTGGTGAAAGTGAACAACGGAGGCCAGGTGAAGAATATTTGATGGTGATTTGAAGTAATTCTCCGTCGGAGAGAAGAATGTCTAAAGCATGTTGTGAAAATTGGTATGGAGTAGAATTCGTCGAATAACTGTCAAACTATCAGACGAGAAAGGAAACACCCGGGAAACATGTGTGAAGTGAAATATATATCATGAGCAACGTTTACGTCAATTTAGAATAACAAACATGTGTTTGAAATGCACAGAAGAGTAATTTTCAAGTGTCACAAGAGTCTAGCTGTTAGTTATAGTTGAACATCGGGTGGAAATGACATTCGATTGGTAGACTAACGCTGGATTCAAGGATGATTTCTACATCTTGAACAACAGTCAATTAGAGGACTGCAGGAAATGGTAGAGTAGTGGAGAATTGTTTGTTTAGTAATACGCACGTGCGACCACAGTAATGACAGAACACAGGACACTGAGTTCACAAGGCGGACACGTTACCATCGAGACGCTGGGTGAGGGTTAGATGGCCTGTGAATTCGAACTTCTTCGAAGTTGTGAGATACTGCATGACGAGGATGCAATGTCATCGTTCAGTACCTGTCCTCACATCAGACATTGTAGACCATACTGGTGATTAGAAATCAATGAAATGGACGGAACTATCTTAAGGCCTCAACAAATCGCAGAGTAAGCTATTTATTCCTATTATAATAATACCCAGTAATGTGATGGTTTCATGGACGCGTAGAATTACCGATTAGTTTTAGAGTGGCGAAATAATTAGTAGTTGTTGGACGAATGTGTTGTAGTGATCTCTATTTGAAAATATTGTGAAATGAGAGGTGATAATGATGATGGTTGGCTATCATAGATTCAGGGAATGTCTGTTTTCTTTTAATTGTATTCCTTTACAAGTTTCCAGACCGCAGGTGTTACGAGCTTCCTGGAATAATTTGAGCACCGAGTCAGTTTGATTCATTATTAATTATTTAAATTAATCCCAGCGTGTGAAGAAAATCAAAACAAGATCCGTCTTCTGAACGTTTCGCTGTGTAAGCCACAGCTTCTTCGTCAGCAGATTCATTCGGATTTTTATTAATCATCAAAATATATAGTCAAAAATGTCTTTTACATAAATTGAAGTCAGTTTATTTGAAGGTCATTTGTCCATTACTTGTCATTATAAAAAATAAAAGAAAAAAAGGATCATGTAAGCTCCTAGAGTGCTTGTTGTTTTTTCAACTGTTATTTCATCGACAAACACTATGAGCCTCCATGATCTTTTTTTAAAACATGTAGGATCATGTTTATCACATATGAATTCACGTATATGTCAAATAACATACACTCATACAAAACTAATCTTTACAAATCAACTATAGAACAGTGAACACAACAACAATTTGACACTAGTCATTACAAATATATGTGAGGACTGCTTACATACTTCTATTGGTAAAAAATGTTTATAGACAAATGACTTTCAAATAAACTGACTTCAATTTATGTAAGAGACATTTTTGACTAAATATTTTGATGATTAATAAAAATCCGAATAAATCTGCTGATGAAGAAGCTGTGGCTTACACAGCCAAACGTTAAGAAAACGGATCTTGTTTTGATTTTCTTAACACGCTGGGATTAATTCAAATAATTTATAATGTATTCCTTTACGTTCCCAGTGGAACGTAGGACTTTAAGCTAGAGCTTTGAAGTTTCGGTAGCAGTGGTATTTATTTTAACGGGATAGAGTTGCTAGCCTCGTTCCTAGCCTTCCGTCTTCACCAATCTTATTACTAGCTTAGCGAGGTAATGGAGTGTGTTGGCGGCTGGGGGTCGATCCCAGAACCACCTGTGCGTTTGGCGAGCATTCTAGCGCCGTGCCACCGACGCAAGGTGAACTGAGAAGTTAGTTGAAGGTTGTGGAACGTGTAAGGTGAGTGGCAGTAGAAAATAGAATGTGGTAAAATTGAGATAGTCGGACTGTGGCGAATAGCTAGCTCATTATTAAATGGTGAATACGTGAAATGATTGAGGTGGGTTCATACATTGAGAAAAGCAGTTATGTCAGTAATATTGAAACCGACTAGTATTGACGGAAAATTCGGTACAGTTGGCAAAATCCTACAGCTAAGGGTATAAATTATGAAGATAACACAACAGAATTAGGTGAAATAATATCTGAACATTGGAGTGATCATATGCAGAAGTCGGTCTGTCGAACATTTTGTGATTAATAGGTGGCTGGTTAGAGGATATCACTTTCATTGTTGGTGTAGTGAAAGTCTTCTTAAGTGAACTTCGGATTCTTCTCCTCTTCAAGATATCGGAGGTGACGTCCATCGTTAAATTTAGGCCCATGCATAGTATTTACTTTGTCACTGAACTGCATTGTCCTCATTGTGGTCTTAGGTTTTGCGGAGGACATCACACTGTCAGCTACCCGTTTCCCACCATGATCATTTTGAGAATTTAGTCCACTTCTTCTAATCATTGAATGGTTCACACTCATCTGATACGATAAGCGGGTGAAATTTTGTTGTCTGGCTGTTCCGTGAATACATTCTGTAGAATAGCGTTTCCATAATCCTATAGTGTCTGATCGTTAATTGTACATCCAGCAGTGGAGTCTTTGATTCATTTCCTCCTTCCAGTTTGATTCATTTGAAGGATAAGAACTACTCAATACCTGTTAGAGGGAATGTTTATCAGAATCACCATGAAAAGCTGTAAAAGTGTCGTCGGTATACCTTCCATACAGCAGTATTCTGTCTATAGGTGATTTTACGATTCTGTTGACGAAACCATACAAGAATAATTCTGTCTGAATGGGGCTATTAGTGGAGACCATGGAAACTGCATCACTTGTCTGTACGTGTCCTCATTGAAGTGACCCTCAATTTTCACACTGAATGTTGATGTTAGCTGCAAGTGCTTGAGATGTGAGGTTGGTTGGTATGTTGGTGTTGAGGTGACTGTCATCCATGTGTTAGCACATGAAACAGGTGGTTTTTTGGAGTGTCCTGTGGCTATCCTGAATGGAAACTCTTGATCTAGTGAGGAGATTCGTTTTCCAGTTGAACTGAAATCTTGTATGAAATGAGTTCGCGTCCTTTCACGATGTGTTAGAGGACAATACTACCGGCCATTTCTGAAAGGTGTTAGTATCGATTAAGTCAGAAATAAATTTGTGGAGAAATCACGGAGTTAAAGACGACTTCACCCCGACCGTGGTACATCAGTTAGGTAGAAGTTCGAAAAAATAGGGCGACTGGAAGGCATCTGGTCTTCTTTACGGCACCCATTAGCAGTAGTGACAAATCACCTTACGATGGATTGAATCCACAACCCTCTAGTTATTAGGTGACCATATTACCATACATACTTCTCTATTCTCTTAATTTGGTACAATGAGGTGTACTGCTTTACTAGGAACAGAATTTCTGAGGGTTTCAGTGACCACCTGATCGATGTCAGCTGGTCAAATATCAACCTCAAATGTAATCATGAATGCACTAAATGAAACCGTGAAGTATTAAAATTGATTTCCAGCACATTTGGAGTGTAGCATGAAAGCGGAATAGGCGTTGACGAGAACTCAGCAACAAACTCTGGTGTATACATATGAAGTAAATAAAAACACCCACCCTCACTTTCGAAATCGAAATGTTTTCAGTTCTCCACTGAGATGGAATTCAATATAACTGGCGTCGGATTCTGAATTATTCCACTTCATCATTGAGCACTACATTGGACCAGGGAGTTATGAATGTCCTGAATTCCATCTAGTCAGTTTGATTAGGATGGTCTTCAATGGGATGGTTTGTTGAGATTTGTATATTACAGATTGACCAAAGTTAGAATTCATAGGGTAAACCAATCGATTATAGATGAAGAGTTTGGTTAGCTCCCAGACATTCCTGTTGCTGATCTTTTCTGGCCAGCCATCTGATCTTGAGTATTGAGCGAAGATAACTGTTAATGAAGGTCTGAAGTTTTTTTGAGATGCTCTTTATGACGCACTGGCCAAGTCTCTGATCCGTACAGTGAGCGGCACTCTTACTTCACATTGGAGTTGAAAAATCCAGATCTTATTTTTGACGCTGAGTGCTGTTGACTTCCACACAGACTTTAGAGTAATAAAAGCTTGTCTTGCTTTTCCGATCCTCGCCACTTTGATATCCTCGTCAGTTCCGTTCGCCTTTAGTTTTTTTTTTTTTTTGATTACAGCTTGATTCCACACTGTATTTTTGGTACAAGTATGGAATTTTCAGCATGGATATCGGTAGCCCAAATTTTGCAGGCCGACCATAGATATCAGGTGTGCGTCGGCGAGGGCTCGAACCTCGGACCATGTGCATGGTCGGCGAGAGTCCTAACCACTGTGCCACCGACGCACAGGTAGGTAGGTAAAGGAGGTTGTTTCTTCCAGGTTCCTCCCATTTATGCTGGCTGATTGTTGTCTGTTGTTCTTGCTGTTGGTGTTGGCCAGGAACCTTCATCACCTCTGTTTCCACCTGAAGGAACTCCCATCTTTGATGCTTATTCTTCCAACTTGTTGTTTTTCACTTGCATAACTACTAGTTTGTGGGAAATCAGACAAATATCAACATGGGCGAAGTCCAGATGCTCCAAGTTTTCCGTGAGGGTCCATTTTATGCCTGTTTCCTCGCTGCCCGCTTTCTGTCGCACTGATTTTTCGTATATCGGAAACTACAGCCAACGGGACTACAACTATTTATGTGGCTCAGAACAGCATTCAACAGCCTTAACGATTGGTTCTATCTCCCGTGTTAATTGGTATAACAAGGTGAGCAATATTGTGGTTAGGCATTGAATATTAAGTAAGCAGGAGAAATCAATCAACGAGGTTGTGAAGTTACACAGATTGAGATAGTTAGAACATGTGTTACGCGTTCATGTCTAGGCATCGCCCTCCTTGACGAGCAATGTTAGCTGACATAGGATTAATTAAGTTGGGAAAGAGAGAGCTAGTGGTGGTCAAACGAAAACATGGCCTCACCAGCCAATGAAATCCATAACAGTTAGTGTGCGTCAGTGACACAGTGGTTAGGACTCTCGTCGACCATGCACATGATCCGAGTTTCGATCCCCTGCCGACGCACAACTGATATCTATGGTCGGCCTACGAAATTTGGGCTACCGATATCCATGCTGAAAATTCCATACTTGTACCAAAAATGCAGCGTGGAATCAAGCTGTAGTCAAAAATAAAATAAGACACCTGGAGAGTTATTAAGAAGACATGGAGAGGTGTAGACTGGATGACTGGTTGAAGTCCTCGGGATGATAAAAATCAACGAAGGTTGGAGACAACTCGTGATATGGCACAAAATCGTTTTCAATGACTGGCGCAGATGCATCCACTCCTTGTCATTTATAATATCTAATAAAACTATATTATTACCAGTGATAGTATTACAGTCCTGAAATGGTAGAGATTTGTAGCTCAGGTGGATGATTTCCAATTAATTGTGTTCTCTGAGTTAGATGATAAATCACAGAAATGATTGAGATGCCTGACAAAAGCCTGGTCACATTATGTAATCGTTAATTTCCTAGTTACAGATAAAATACCAGTGAAGGATCCAAATCACATCTGAGCATTACTCAGCGTGGTGTGTAGGTGCGTGTGAAGAATTCCATCCATTTATTTACTGATTGATTCTCATAAACCCATAGTGATCCAATCCCCTTGACGAGAAAACAGTAAAGTTCATCACTAAACAAGTCCCGTTCATACAAATTTAATGAAGAAGTTGCAAATCCGACGGGTCCCTATTCTTTGCTATCTTAATATCCTGACACGTTCAAAGTTATAATCGACTTGTTCGTTTCAGACTAATAACATGCATCCTAGACCAGGAATTGGGAAAGTAGAGACATAACTCGATGATAACCACTTACATTTACATGTAGGTAGATGTGTATGAACTTGAATGACACTACCTGGCTACTCAAAACTCGGCATGTGGAACTGGATTCAAACCAAAGAACCAGTGGTTGGAAGTTGAAAGCTTAGATAACTGATCCACAGGCTAGGTATTTCGACTATATGAGAGTTTATGGTATCAAACGCTTTCCCATATCTAAAATACGTAGAGTGAGGCTTTAACTCATAACTGATTAGAAAAGACAAAAAAGTAGGCCGTACAGTTAAGCGTGTTTCTCCTCGGATATCTGAAAATCGTCGTACATGGTTAGGTAAAGGACAAGCAAAATTCATTCGTAGCGCTAGTCTTTCGCATTTTGAGGACACCGAACAGAAGATTGATGTTAACGAGGCTTTCAGAGTCATCTACCGCATATCAACTAGTCTTAATTTTACCTTCTTAAGAGTTCGTCTACTACACATATTCCTGAGGATGTTGGGATCCACATTAAGAAACCTAACTTATGTTCAGACACTGCCCTCACCTTGGCCATCAAAATTTCACTGATCCTTATTTTGTTGTAGAAATTTCCTCAATTCTATTTGATATTCTATTTGTCATTACATTTCTATGCCCATTATAACTTAGGTATCTTTCTTCCATTGTAATGCCATTCATCTTACTTAACAAATCGATAGCATTTAAAAACACCAGCATTGTTAATGACGATTATCTAGATCAATCTGTGTAAATATATACAGCAAACGAACTCAGAGACTGCCGAAGATGTGCTCACATCGTTATTGCAAAAGGTTTTGGAAGAAGGTAAGGTACCTACCGACTGGAGGAAAGGCTGACCACCTTGTTAAGCTACCAAAGAAGAGCGACTCAGGCATCACTCTGTAAGAACTGGCGTCGAATAATGCATTTGACCAGGCCAAGTGAAATACTAAGTCACATTATCCTGGAGAGAATATAAAAGTTACACTGGATGCAGATCTCCATCACCCACTGGAACAAACTGGCTGGATTCAGGAAAGGCAGATCATGTGGTGAGCAAACTGCAAATCCACGCATCGTCATCACAGAACAAAGCATAGAATGGCAGTCAAACCTCTCCCTAACTCAACTTCATCGAATTTAAAAGGCCTTCGACAGTGTTTACCAAGAGGTACTTTGGCAACTACTTCAACACTGTGGCGTACCTCAATTCTTTGTCAATCTCATTCAACAGCTGGCGATATGACAATTCCCCATGTCAAGTGATCTACAACGGAAAACTCAGCAAGGCGTTCGAAGTGAATACAGGAGTAGGACAAGCTGGCTGCCTGCCTATTATAAACGACGATATTCTTAATTGTGGTGGACTGGATTTTGCGTCAGATTGTGCGTGGAAGAGAATAGACAATAATACGCTGTACCACCGATAAGAAGACTCTAGAAGATCTGGATGATTTGGATGGATGATTTACGTCTAATGCCACAAAAATTCGAAGAATTGCAGGCGAGGTGAGCGGCGGAAACAGGACTTTAGGTGAACACAGAGAAGACGGAGGTGATGAAGATAACCAATCAACAGCAGAACAACCAGCACCAGTCACCATCAACGGGAGAGATTTAACAGAGGTTACCTCCTTCACTTATCTAAGGAAGCATCGTTTCAACTACAGACAATCGTCACGGATGAAGATGTCAAAGCCAGCCAATCAGAATCAGAAAGGCAAGATACGCCTTCATCAACTTGAAACCAGTTTGGAAATATTCTGCACTCCGCCTCAGCATGAAGAACAAGATCCACATTTTCAACACCAATGTCAAGTCGGTCAGTGCTTCTATACGGGTCAGAAACTTGCCCTGCATGTCACGAAATGGTTGCAGACATTCATCAACAGCTGCCTGCCCTGGCTTCAAACTGAACGTCAAATGGACGGCTGGCCAGAAAGAATAAGCAAGAAGAAACTCTGTCTAGCTGGGAACAAACCAACCAGGAGCCAATCGCTCAACAAATATATAGGAGAAAGTGGAGATGGATTGATCGGGCATATGTGGACGAGGCCGCTGAATGACATCGCACGCGATGCAGGCCATTGCTCGAGTGGAATTCAAATGGAAATCAACGAGTGGGCCGTTGGTGCGAGGGTGACATGGAGGAGATTGTGTGAGGAAGAGATGAGAAAGTTTGGTCAATCGTGGACTAAGCGGAAGAGATTGGCAGAAAATAGGAGAAAATGGAGATGTGCTGTTGAAGCCCGCTTTCAAGGTTGAATGAAAAAGTTTAAAAAATAAACCGAAGAGGATACGAAATACTATTATATTTGCAACCACCATCAGTGAAGCAGATTTATCCTGAGATCCCCATCACAGTACAACCAAAATAGTAAACATCACTATCCATTTTTCTCCACACACATACACACTGCCGCAATACGCATTGTAAACATTGAAGAAAGTTAGTGGATTAAATTCTCCAACGAACTAATGATTATTGTTAAATGTTCAATGAAAAAATGGAATGTGGTACACGGTAAACTACAGTATTTATTTTAAGATAAAATAGCATCACAAGATCTGACAGAAGAAACAATCACTTTTAGAAACATTTTACAACTTTTATTGATCCCTTTTACAGTAAAGATTATTAATAATTTATATTTGAAAATAATTGGGAAACTAATCCCTTCGGTTGTAGTATTGCCTAGTCACTGCAGCTGTCAGAGTCAGAGTCACTTAACTTCAAATCATGCTCAATCAATTTACGATGAGCTGACAAATTTGGATTAACCACCGCTTTAGCATCCGATTTTGTATTTGAAGAGGGTGGCTGCTTATTTTTCGCTGATTTCTTCCTTTCACTTGATAAACTGCTCAGAGTAGAACTTGACTCACTATCTGAAACAGTGTCGTCATCATCGTCATCATCACTGTCCGACGACTCCGCGTCCATATCACTGCTGCTACTGGAACCACTACTACTACTACTGCTACTCAGAGTTCTTGAGTGTGTTTTCTTCTCCAATGACTGTTGTCCTGTAGTATTTGAAGTAACAGACATCATCTCAGGATCACTGGGTGGTTTTCTCTTAGGGGGAGTAGGTCGAATAGATTTCAAGTTGCTTTCTTGACCTGAACGGTCAGGTAGCGGGAGCAACTGTGAACCTTCCGAGTTAGGAAGACAGGCTGTATCAGGCTTTCGTCCTTCACGAGTTTTCTTCAACTGAACGGTATGTGCAATTCGCTCTAATGTCAATTCATGGGTCTGAAATAAAAAAACAATAAAAAATAGCAAAATTAAAGCGAAAATATTTCTTTCACACGTACAGAATTACAGTGGAAAACAATGGATATCACGATTATAAAGGTTGATGTGAGTCATTCATACTGGACGTGAGTATGGTTACCCCAGTTTTCGCAATGTCTACTACCTAAACAACGTTTGGATAAAGAAACTTTTCGTATAGAATAGAAGAGTATTTTGTGATTTCATACGATGGCGGTACGCTTACACGTACAAAATCCGGAATTCTCATTTACTTTATTCCCTGGTTCGATACCATAGTTTGATGGTTTTATTTCAAAATTATGTACCAGATTTTTATAATAATAATCCCTATTCCAGCTTAATTAAGTTTATTACTTGTTCAGTGCATGAGCAACAGAAGATACATTTAGTAACAAGGCTGGCTGGTTGGAAAAACCTTCTCATTTGGAATAAGTGAAATGCAGAATTCAATATGGCTGATCACTAGCACAAAATGTATGACTGACTCAAAGTCAGTCACAGGTTTCAACATAGAACTACACTCAGTGATCCAAGTTGCCATAATGTTGACATAATACACTCAAAAATAGAAAGAAAAGAAAAAGGCTTAAAGGAATTGTACTAGATGGAAATATGTGGGAGGAACAATAAGCATATAGAGAATGGAAACGTGATGAATCAAAGAATTCTATTCTATTAAGTGTGAACGCGTCTGCATCATTGCTGACAAAGAATTCCGGGTAACGTCACCAACAGACTGCAAATATCGATTATTAGCGTCTGTAGATGATCATAACCAGGCTGAAACGAACAAAGATTTCATCGATTAATGCTAGTTAGTTTCTGAACCTTTTAACTTCCCTCATATCCTTGAGTTGAAAGTGGAATATACGACTTCAAACTTCCGAATTTTCAGTAGCAGTGAGGTTGTTTCGCTTGTTCACACTAAGTGAGAGCTTCAAGATTGTATCAGCTGACAGTTGAACACTGACCTTGTGTGTGGTTGGAGAGCCAGCCATTTTTCAACTGATGCCTTTCTTACTTAGTATTCTAAGCCTAAATATCATTATTACTGCGGTGAGAGCAGGCTGCTAGCCAATTGGTAGACATTAATTTACGTCAATGTCTAGGTCACTAATATTGGGCGTGCGAAAATATGAACAAGGCTGATATAAGAATAAAACTTGTGCACTGTGGTAGAGTGTAATTCCATTATGGGTAAATTTTGTTTTGATAAAGTCTCACAGTGTTATACAGTAATGTTTACTGATGACGTGTCGAGCACAATTTATTGCTCATAATCATAACAAAGTATGATGATATGATTATGAGCAATAAATTGTGCTCGACACGTCATCAGTAAACATTACTGTATAACACTGTGAGACTTTATCAAAACAAAATTTACCCATAATGAACAAGGCTGATTCAACAAACAATCACAGCAGACTTAACGTGGGTAAATAAGATTCGCAGATATATGGCTTCACTTTCCGAGAAACCAGTCACCTTGAGCAAGAAACAACCAATCAGAAGGCTGTGTTTGTCTGCTTGAATAAGCTATAATAATGTACATGAAATATATATAAATAGGTACTGATTTCCGTAATAAAACGATCTGTTGCCTGGCCCTTGTCTTCTGTTGTTACATTACTAATATTCCTTTGGGTCCCGAATGGAACATGAGGCTTCAACAACAACAACTCTACGCCTAATCTCAATCACCACGTTTTACCACTTAACAGAAGAGATGCAACGCAGACACGTGTAGTAAGAGACTGACAGCCTCTCCTCCTGTGCGTCGGTGGCACAGTGGTTAGGACTCTCGCCGACCATGCACATGGTCAGGGGTTAGAGCCCACGCTGACGCACACCTGATATCTAATCTATGGTGGGCCTGAGAAATTTAGGCTACCGATATCCACGCTGAAAATTCCATACCTGTACCAAAAATACGGTGTGGAATCAAGCTGTAATCAAAAATAATAAAAAAATAAACAAAATTAAACTTTCAACGGTCAGATCTCATAGCCATAACTGATAAGCAGTACATACGTCGTTTGACCAATAGTCGGATATCACGTCAAAGGCACAGATGAAGTAAGTGAAAGACTCGGCATTTTGACAATGTCTTCACCTAGAAAGACTATAACTATCCGCATACTCTGAGCACTCTATCCAGGTCACCAGTCAATCTCAAAGTCGCTGAAGTCGCTCTCACAAGTTGTAAGCGTAGTGACTTGATATGATCATGAGTAGCGATAATTTGTGCTCGAAACGTGGTCATCAGTAAATATTACTGTACAACACTGTGTGATTGATCAAAATAAAATCTTTTCCATGGTAGAGTTTTACTCTAACACATTGCCAACGTTTTATACTTACATTAAAAATGGGCACCCTTAAGTCTCTGTCTGTCTGTTTTCGACATAGAACTTTGCACAAATGTGCGGAAGTTCAAGTCGCCACACTCCGTGTAGCACGCAAAGCAAGAGAAGAAAGTACAAGAAAAGCATAATAGAAACAGTGCACCCTTAAGAGACACAACTAACTGTCATTATCTCAGAGGAAACATTCTCATAAGCGCTTATCTGGCTGCACGAGTTTGAGTAGAGTGCCTTGATCAGTATGATGCAGTCAATTTCTTTACGGTTAGGCATCGTCACATACGCCATCTGGTCAAAATTATGGCAAGTCTTGGACACCAATAAGTATGCCAGTGTTTGTAGATCTGTCGAGGGGTGAAAATATCATCAATACGCCCTTGTCCGTGTTTGAGGCCTGAATGACTGACCGATTTCCCCTGCTTTAATTCTCCTGAACACTGCTGCTGCTTAGTCTAAACAGTATTACTTACATCAGAATTTCACATACTATTTTAGTAAAGCTAATTTCCGCATAACTTGTCTTCCTTTTTTCACAACTGGGATGATTAGAGATTTACACTAGCAGGGATAAAGTTGAACAACATTAAGGAGGGCATATGCACACAACATACAACCACACACACCATAAGAACAGTAGTATACAGTCAAGTTTGCCAAAAAAGGGTGAGAGCTGTATGTAAGTAATTCATGTCCAAACTAGCTGTCCACATATGTTATTCAACGCTCTAAAGAGTATTAGAACAGCATAAAGTTTACAGTGGTATGAATATCTTAAGACAAACCAATATGTGAGAAAAAAGCATTGTAGAAAGTCCAAAGAGCTGCTTATGCTGCAAAGACGTAAACTCTTTCGTCGAGATTGAATCATTCCCACTGAGGTTCCCAAAAGCCTGATAAGAATTCCTACCTTAGGTATACGGAGTAATTAGAATGAAAGACTTATTAGCTATCCAGCAGTTATAAATCATACTTGTACATCTGTGAATTGAATAGAAGTGTAAACCGATGAGACCGTGAATTAACACAAAAGGGACCAGAAAAGTGACTTCATCAAGTCGCCTATTATATGCTTACTTATGGCATTAGAAATTTCTGAAGGTACCATCAGATTTGCAGAACTCATCACAGCTCATATGGTTTATTATGTGGTGACCTTTTAAAATTTTTAGACATTAATTTATTCGCTGAGGATGAGCAGAGCATAGCAATTATACGTCTGAAGTGCCTGTTTCGGTCTGAGCATAAGGGGTTGTAACCCAGCTCTCGCGAACACGATGAGATTTTGTGCGGCACATCACTTTGCTTCCCATAATGTACTAAGTTTACATTTTATTAATTGATAAATGTTTCATGTAAAAAGAAACTGCGTCGGTGGCACAATGGTTTATTTATTTATTTAAACGCATAAAAAACTTGGTACAATATGGCACCAAGAAAGATGCGCCACACAATAATAATAAAACAACATAGATCAAAAAAAAAAGGAAGAGAAAAAAATATATATATATATATAAGTAGAGAACGGATAAAGAACTTCATCTGGAAGGAAAACAGTCATGCTTAACAAGTTCAAACAGTGTTCGTTAGCTATCATCGGGAAGGGAAGAAAGAAGGAAATCGCAACACATTCGCCACTGATTACGATTCTTGGCCATATCCGATAACGTTTCGAGCCATCGATTTGAGCTATCTCTCGGACCCCAACCAGGGAGTCGTGACACACCAACCGATGCTAATCTAGCACAAAAATCCTTCATCCCACGACGCCACGTCATGGACTGACCACCTCTCCGCCTTTTCCATCCCGTCCCAGGGCTAGCGAACAGAGACCTGTACGGAAGCCTCTGGGGTGACATTCGGAGCACATGTCCAAGCCACCGGAGCCGGTGTTTCCAGATGACGACATTCAATGAATGGTGATCTCCACTTTGTTCAAACACACGCCGCCGAACCTCAGAATTACTCACGCGATGATGCCATCGAACGCAAGCAATCCTGCGGAGACAGCGGTGATCGAACACGCAGAGTCGCCGCACATCCTCAGCTCGGAGAGGCCAGGTTTCACAGGCGTAGAGCAGCGCAGCCCGCACCGAAGCATTGTATACCCGACCTTTGACAGCCAGGCTAACGTCGCGACGGCGCCATAGGTGGCTCAAGTTGATGTATGCCACCCTAGCCTTCATTATACGGTTGGAAATCTCATCCGTCACCCCTCCGCCAGCACTCACACAACTACCCAGGTACACAAACTTATCAACAACTTCAAGCGGTTCACCCGCAAGAGTGAGTGCAGGTACAGGCTCCTGCCAATCTTGTAACAGTACTTTGCACTTAGACGGCGCAAAGCACATACCATACTTACAGACACTGATCGCCAACTGATTAAGTGCGATTTGGGCAGCCTGCATGCTATCGCACAGTAAGACGATATCGTCTGCATACTCGAGGTCGAAAAGTCTATCTCCAGGTAGCAGATCTACACCACCTTCACGCACATCCTTCAGAGCTGACTCCAGAATGTCATCGATGGCAAAGTTAAAGAGAAATGGAGAGATTGGGCAACCCTGTCTAACCCCACTGTTGGTTGGGAACAGTGGTGATAGTTGGTTGTATGCCCTCACTCTACCTGAGGTGTTTCTGTATAGGGCTTTCAGGATGTTAACAAATTTCTCAGGTACACCTCTCTCTAACAGACAGTTCCAGAGCACAGTTCTGTCCAACGAATCGAAGGCAGCCCTAATATCAAGAAACACAACGATCGTTGGCACAATGGTTACGACTCTCGCCGACCATGCACATGGTCAGGGGTTCGATCCCCTGCCGACGCACACCTGATATCTATGGTCGGCCTGCAAAATTTGGGCTACCGATATCACATGCTTAAAATTCCATAGCTGTACCGAAAATACTGTGTGGAATCAAGCTGTAATCAAAAATATAAAATAAATATAAATAAAAACAGTAGAATTACCTTTTTATTATATATCAAAATACATTCTTTCTGAACAGAACGAGCAGTCCCACGAAATGTAGTTGTTGCCTCCAAGGTGGTGCTTGTTACATTAGGCATGTCAACAACAACCTCGTTACCTTCATTTACCTTGATTGAGCCAGGTTGTGACCGGTCTACTGAGGCAGGCATAAAATCACAACGCATTGTCATATATGATGTTGGATCTCGATCAAGAAAACTCTTTCCAAGTTTAACATCAAATGTCCCATTGAGTTGCATTTTAGTGACCACTATAACAAAAAGAACAAACTTTTAATGTAATACAGCCGAATTATGAGGGAATTTAAGTTGAACACTTGACAAACATCACGAAAAGACTGAAAATAATGATAAAAAGTGATGAGTGTGCACAATTGGAGCAACAGATATACAGATCGATATTTATCAATACAACCCATAGTTACTTTACTTGCCTTCTTGAAAGATCCTACACCACCAGCCTAATTATTTATTCTTTTACTATTTTTATTATTTATTTACTTACGCGACAACTAAACAGCAGGTTAATAATACAGATTCACTTTCCATTACAAAATGGAATATCACTACTTCACTTAGAATAAAGTCATCATATGAAGAATAGCAACATCTAAAAATAATCAACGTATAGGATCAAGCCGTAAGGGGAACTAAAGAGTTAAAGAATAATCACTGATCACCCAAAAATAATGGAATACAATAAACAGTACTTGTGTAGGATAAATCTGATAAATCGTCACACTTTTAATGAAACATAAAAGTTACGGCTCTTGGGTGCGATTTCGCTGAGTTTCAGTATATATATTCTTATTCCATTATGGATAAATTTTCGTTTCGATAAAGTCTCACAGTGTTATACAGTAATGTTTACTGATGACATGTCGAGCACAATTTATTGCTCATAATCATATCAAGGCACTCACACGACTTCCTAACTTGATTTATATAGTTCCATTATTTTTCACTTGATTTGATTGGCAGTAGTATTTTCCATATTTCAGGTATGAGTGATGACTCATTCCTATTGCACGTGTTTGGTGTAGACTCGATGAACAAGGATTCAGTAATCAACCTCTCTCTCCACGTATTTAGGTTACTTTTTAGAATTTTGACCCTCTCCCACCCTATTGTGTGGTTTTGTGTTAATGTGTGAAGTGTAATTGCTGAGCTATTTTCGAAATTACTCATCTTCTCGGCGTCAACCATTCTTACCTTAGCTAAATTTTTATGCTCTGACAATCTGACTACCCCTGACCTACTAGTTTGACCTATGTAGTTGACCTGACAGTCATTGCATGGTATTTTGTAAATTATATTATTTTGTTTAATTGGTTCAACTGAGTCCTTTAACCTACACAGCTTGTCCAACCGGAGTGAGTTTGTAGGTTTAAATGCCACCCTAATTCCTGCTTTATTTAGAATCCTACATAGGGTTTTAGATGTCCCCTCTTTATATTGTATAACTGTAGATGACTTATATTCTCTCCTATTTATGTTATTATTACTAGTTTCACAATTATTTTTCGTTTGGCCTTTTTCGATCTTCTTAATGAATTTAAAAGCATAGTTATTTAACACCAACGCCTCTTTTATCTGTTTTAGTTCATCATTTAGGTCTTTTCTTGTGCTACTTAGTGCTACTGCTCGGTTTGTTAAACACTTAACTAAACTTGCCTTAACAGTTAACGGGTGAGACGTAAAGAAGTCTAAATATTTATTACAATGCGTTGGTTTTTTATAAACACTAGTGTGTAGTTTTCCTTCTTCTATTCGTTTTATTTTAACAATCTAACATAGCTAATTCTCCTTGTTCATTTTCCGATTCAAATGTGAATTTTATTCCGTCTACTAGTGAGTTTATTTGTGTCAAGAAGCTAGAGATATGTTCTATTTTTAACACTGTAAAAGTGTCATCCACATATCTCTTTCATATTTTTGGAGTAGGATTAAACGTATTAAGAGCATTACTTTCCCAGCTGTCGATAAATATGTCTGCTACGATAGGGGATATTGGTGATCCCATTGCTACAACTTCTGTTTGTCACTCAGGGACAAGCTCTGCAGGTTAAAGGACTCAGTTGAACCAATTAAACAAAATAATATAATTTACAAAATACCATGCAATGACTGTCAGGTCAACTACATAGGTCAAACTAGTAGGTCAGGGGTAGTCAGATAGTCAGAACATAAGAATTTAGCTAAGGTAAGAATGGTTGACGCCGAGAAGATGAGTAATTTCGAAAATAGCTCAGCAATTACACTTCACACATTAACACAAAACCACACAATAGGGTGGGAGAGGGTCAAAATTCTAAAAAGTAACCTAAATACGTGGAGAGAGAGGTTGATTACTGAATCCTTGTTCATCGAGTCTACACCAAACACGTGCAATAGGAATGAGTCATCACTCATACCTGAAATATGGAAAATACTACTGCCAATCAAATCAAGTGAAAAATAATGGAACTATATAAATCAAGTTAGGAAGTCGTGTGAGTGCCTTGATATGATTATGAGCAATAAATTGTGCTCGACACGTCATCAGTAAACATTACTGTATAACACTGTGAGACTTTATCAAAACAAAAATTTACCCATAATGGAATTATACTCTACCATAGTGCACAAGTTTTATTCTTATATCAATGATATATTCTTATTCCTTTACGTTCTGAGTGGAATATAGGGCTTCAAGCTTTAGCTTTGGAGTTTCAGTAACAGTAGTGTGTTTTACAAGGTGGAATCGCTAGCGTGACGGCCAACCTTCCATCTTTGTCGGGATTACAACCTGCTAGGGGAGGTAAAGGTGTATGCCCGTCAGGACTCGAATCCCGGGCCACGTCCATGTTCAGTCAGCACTCTACCACTGAACCACCGACGCTCAGTTTAAGTATACTATATCCTTATCTGCTACGGGAAGATACTATGTCATAATCCAGCTGTCTCCAGCAAACTTACATTCGAAGAAATCCATTACTGGTGAGAGAAATACAGAAATGGAGTTGTTTTCACAACGATAACGACATGAGCTTCAATGGGCACACTTTCAATGGTGCTCTCTGCTCTCGGTATGGAGCTGACATCAACTCTGAACTACGAAGAGGGTAAGTAAAGCTTATCATGATAGCAAAATTCAACTTGATGTTGAGTGAATTATATAAACGTGAAATAAAATGACACGCAAAGTCAGGGAAGCTTGCAATTAAAAGCTAATAAAATGCATTGGACTTTCTAAGTATATCCTAACTAACCGCCGTAAGTATATCTGTTCTAAATGGTCGTAACTACGATGATTAACAATACTGATTTCAACATGTGTAAGTCTTTCTTTAATTTCAAAAGGGGTGCATTCTGAAGTGGAAAGGGGTAATTGAGACAGATGCTGTACGAAAAGGAATTTTCTTGGCAACTCTGAATTTGTAAAATAGCAAAATTAACTCTAGCAACTTAGAATAATCAAAAGGAAGACTAAACAGACAAACATTTACACTTTTATTCTCTCGATTACATGACTCCATATTGAAAGCGGTGAATGAAGTGGCTCTGTAACTTCTATTAAAATTTGAGTTGCCTTGATTCTGAAATAACAAGATGTCTAGCAAAATTTACTGTTAGACTATGATAGTAAAGGCAAGGATACAATGTGACTGGCTGAGTTCCTAAATTCACTAAATATCTGCATGCCACTTCTAAAAAGACAAAAAAAATCAGAAGAAAAGAAACTGAAGAAGTCACTTCATCCGGAACCGCCAAATGAAATTTTCCCAGTGGATATACCTAATTATGTTCATAATTTATCTGATGTTTCCCTATCAAAAAAACAAGCAGGAATTCTGTCATTGGGATTCAACTTCTGTGTCCCCATGAATAAGATAAAGCAAATTGTGATATCGAATGCCAATTCGATGGCACAGTGGTTAGGACTCTCGCCGACCATGCACATGGTCCGGGGTTCGAGCTCACGCCGGCGCACACCTGATATCTATGGTCGGCCTGCGAAATTTGGGCTACCGATATCCATGCCGAAAATTCCATACTTGTACCAAAAATACAGTGTGGAATCAAGCTGTAAATCTAAAAAAAAATCTTTATGACCAACTTATGGGGCTGCATGCCACGTCCAGTGACAGCGAAGGCTGGTTGAAATTAAAGATGGTTGATATTGCTCATCAATTTCGAATCATGCCGACTAATCAAAAGTTGCATATCACTAAAGAACACTGGAGATCTTTAAACAAGCTCCGAAAAGACAATAATCTTGCTATTTTACAAGCTGATAAAGGGCAAAGTGTAGTGCTAATGAACAAGATAGATCATCTCGAAAAAATGCATCAAATTTTCTCGGATGAATCTAAATTCAAATTGGATAACCATGCAAAAGATCAAACGTTATTGCCCAAAAGGAAAATTGTGCAGCATCTACGACAACTCTTCAAAAAGAAATACATTGACGAAAACACGTATAGAAAAATATCAAACTGATTGGGTCACAAATCCCAAAACTATACGGACGCGTAAAAATACACAAACCAGGAGCGCCGTTAAGACCTATACTCTCTATGATAAACTCACCATACCACAAATTAGCACAGTGGCTATGTGAACTGTTGCAGCCCTTGCTGAAACGTTTCGGAACATATATAGTTTCTAACTCATTTCAATTTGTCAAGCAAATTAAAGATATCAATGTATCTGATAAGCATTTGGTCTCTTCCGATGTTACCTCCTTCTTCGCAAATGTGCCAGTCGTTGAAACTATCGACTTGATACGTAAAGAAGCTGAAGACATAACCATTCCAACATCGGAATTGAGGAAATTGTTACTTTTATGTACTAAAAATGTCCAATTCCAATTCGACGGGCGTCTATTCCGTCAAGTTGATGGTGTCGCAATGGGAAGCCCTTTGGGACTACTTTTCGCAGACTTATTCTCGTCACGCCTAGAAACCGGTGCCTTGCAGCAACATATACAAGAAACGGATGTATACCTAAGATATGTTGATGACACTTTTATTGTCTGTGGAGGTAGATCAAAAGCGGAAGACATGTTGATAAAATTCAACTCATGTCATCCAAATCTCAATTTCACAGTACAACATGAGGAAAATGATACTATTAAATTTCTAGACGTTTTTCTAGCCAAAATGAATGATGGCACAATCAAAAGATCTACATTTAGAAAGTCTTCATGGACAGGACAGTACATGCATTCCAAGAGCTTGGTTCCATTCCAGTATAAAAAGAACTTAAT